GATACCCAAAGGGTCAGATTATCCTGGGCCTCCTCCCAGCCCGGAGGGGGAGAGGTGGCGGGGGTGAAGGGGATATATTTGAGTGGTGCAGCCGGGAGATGGGGGTGGTGGTGGTGGTGAGGGTAGGCCGCCGGCAGGGGGGTGAGGGGGTGGGAGCAATTCAAGGGATTGAGGTGCACCAGTCATCAGGGCAGGGAATCGTGACATGTATGGAGGTGGGGAGTGATTTCAGGGAAACGGCACGCAGGGGTTTCCAGGGCCGGGGAGAGTCAGGGAACACTAGCTGTGTAACACCGGCATTGGGAAACAATAGGGATTGTGGTGCATAGGCCTGAGGTGTGGGGAAACCCAGGGAGATGAATGTCGTGATGAATACAGCTGCTAAGTCTGTGGAGAATCCACCAAAAGGTTCCCGAGGCTCTGCAAAACCAGGGCTCAGTCCAAATCCCCCAAATTGGCCCCCTCACCCACAGATCCAGTGACCAGTCGCATGGAACTGCAGATGGGTATGCCTACATCAGTGCCATCTTCCCAGAAGTCACTAATTCACTTTCTGATGTACTCTGAGGGAAAAAGCTTTTCACACACCTGATCAATGAACCTCGGGAATTCAGTGGAGGCTTAATCTGGTCGGGTCTCTGCAAATGTATTCGGGGCTTTCACTGTCCTCCATAGCCTTCTGTAAACTGGGTACTTAAAATTTACACTCTGATCCTGGATTTTATTATTTACAATCCTTGGAATACACGGCTGATATGCTTCTTCATGTGGTCTTATCTTACACCTCATTTAGATGTCTGCTTGTTTTAAGACAAGCTTTTAAGACCCCAAACACTATTCTTTTTGTTAGCCAGGTATCATCTGATTTCTTCACCACATTTTGCTATAGCACCCAGGTCTTCAGTAATCACTTCATGAATGTAAGTATAATTGTCCGTATAGCTTGATTTTATGCTTGACCAATTTCAGATAAGAGAATTTGGTAAAATTCTTAAAGTTCTGCATCACTAACTTTTGTGGTTGTGAATAAATCTCAGTAACAGTTGTATTAGCTGAGCTTCCTTGTAAGGGTATAGATATCATCCCATCACCAACTTCAAGACAGATCCTAAACTGTTCTTTTTGGCAAAGAATGTAACAGCATATCCTCTTGAATCTGTCATTCTTGGCATAGTAAGCCGTATGACTGTCCTATTCAGAATGGCCAGGATTAGTTCACTTCAGCTCCCGAAGGCCTAGGGTACTAATCATTATATGTTCCGTTTCAGATTCATTTCACAAACATTCCACTTTCCAATTATTAATGGATGTTTGCAGCTGTTTCTTTATATTTTGAGTCACGCCTCCATAAACTGAAGATCTCAAAAGCTTTACTTCAGTCAAGTTACTAAAGCTGACTCTAATTGGAGGAAGCAGCTCTTCCACGGCCCTATTTTGAGTGCCTTCCACGCCCAGGGGCTCACTTGCCAGCACTATATCTGACGATGTTTGATGGCTATTCATAACATTTTCGGTGGCTAATCCATCAGAAGTGGATAGTCTACTCCTTCTTCATAATTTGTTGTTAGTTTGGAAGCTCTGATGAGAACCGTTCAACTATGGTGACCCTGCTGGCATTGGAAATACCACTGACATAGTTTCCAGTGTCATGGCAACACTCAGGCTGCCATAGTATGACAAGCTGGCAGGTGAGTAGAGTGCAACAAATAAATGTGACAAATATTCATGTAAAAAATTACTGAAAACGAGAAAACAGCATACAGTACTAACGTCACACTATACTGTGAGCCTAGAATAACAACATCAAAAAGAAGGTGCCCTGGCAGTGTACGTTACATATTGGGCTGCTAGCTTCAGGGCCAGCTGTTTTAAACTACCAAGTACTTCTCAGGAGAAAGGTGCCACTTTCTGCTTCCATAAAGGTCTGGCGTCTTGAAGACCCACAAGGTCAGTTCTACCCTGTCTATGAGGGCCACTATGAGTCAAGAGAGACTCGATGACAGTAAGTTTGGGGCTTTTTAATAACAAACATACTTTCGCATTGTGTTTCATTTCAGATTAATTCATAAACTATCCTCTGTGATAAAGCCATGAAGTCACGGTGGTATCGTGGTTACACATTGGGCTGTGATTCACATAGTCAGCAACTCAAAACCACCAGCAGCTCCGTGGGAGAAAGACTGGGCCTTCTACTCCTATGAAGAGCCAACGTCTCAGAAATCCACCGGGGGTTGCCATGGCTCAGCACAGACTCGATGTCAGTGAGTTGAGAGTGCTATAACCTTACATTTACTTTGAAAGTCAGCAACATTTCCCTCATTCCCTTTCATCTTTAAAAACTATGAGATGGCCAGAAAGAATAAAGGATCACAGGAGAAACAGTTAATACAATAAGGATAAAATGAGATAATCAGGCTCGGCAGAATTTCGTGTGAATTGGAAGTAAACGTAATATACAGTGAAGAGCAACCTTAAGAAGTAACGCCGTGGAGGGTCTCGAACCCTAAATGGTTTTGTCTTTATATACACTTCTTTTTCCAAGGCAGTTCTAATAGTAAATGAGAAAGAAAATCACGCTCCTTTCTGTGGGGGAAAAAATTCATTGACATCATTCTTTGATGCTAATGGGTTGCTCTTATCCACCTGTTCAAAAATTACCCATCAATGTCTGATCCAAAAAGTAAAAGTACTGACTTGTTTTCCAACCAGGAAATTGCTGACTACTCAGCAACACTGTCAATTCTCCTTGTCTGGCTCAAAAAAGAGAGTCAATAACAAGCCCATTACCTCTTGAATTAGTTTAAAAATTATGTATGTTTCTTTCATTTTAAGTTGAAGAGTTCTCATAGCTACAAATTGGTAAAAAGGTCAAATTTTCTGGAGTTACATTTTTTATGCTAACTCAATAACCAGTGAGTAAATTGTCACCATGAAACTCACCTTCATTAAGCAAAAATAATATTGAATCTCTAGCTCTCTGGTTAATACAACTTTTGGAAAGAATCTTGTACCCTCCTTTTTATCAAAGTATATAAGTTACATTAATTCTTATTGATACCTGAGTAGGTAGATACATCAAACAGTATAACATCCCACAATTGTTAATACTGGTAATAACTAATATCCTAGTATGCTATTTAAATATGGTCTCTGCTGCATTTAAAAATGTTGAAAACTAAAATAGTGACCTCCTAATATATCCAAGAGCCCTGGTAGTATAGTAGGTTATGTGTTGGGCCACTAACCACAGGGTCAGCAGTTCGAAAACACCAGCTAATCTACCAGAGAAAGAGAAGGCTTCCTGGTTCTGTAAAGATTTATAGCTTCGGAAACCCAGGGGAAGTTCTCATCTTGTTATATAAGATCGATGTGAGTTAGAACTGATTCACTGGCAGTGAAAGTGAACACTACAGCAATATTTCTTTTGATTTATATTATATAGCCGATAAAGAAAATGTATTTCTTTTTAGAGTTTATCAGGTTTAAATGCTAATTGGACAATGACCACTAACTTTTATGAGTAATGCTATCCTTTTGATGTAAGCTTGTTAGGAAAAAGACAATTTTGGTGAGAAAAGGCCAGGAAAATTGTGCCAAGGAAATTTTTCACAATGTATGTGCTCATTATTTAAAGGGCTTTCCTATGACAATTTCATTGGGAAAGTTTATACCATCCACCCTACAGCTGATTTTGCACCTTCAGACATTTTTTAAAATAAATCATTTTATTGGGGCTCTTTCAGCTCACATAACAATCCATACATCAATTGCACCAAACACATTTGTACATATGTTGCCATCAGCATTTTCAAACATTTTTTCTGCTTGAGCGCCTCTTTTTTCACCTCCCTCCTTCAGACTTCTTTTTGTTCCCAGAACTTAGAAAAAGAACGTAATTTGAATTCCTCAAGGATGTCAAAATGACCCTTCGGACATGGAGTCCATTGAAGAGTGGAGACCTCTTCAAAGAAGTGCTAGAGAGCTGCACACACCACCTTCAGAAGGGTATAGACCTAGATGAAGGCTATGTTGAGAAATCACAGCTTCACATCTTGCTATTTTTGTTTCTTAAAGGCTTAAATGCTATATAGCAATATTTTTTTACTTATGCTTGATAAAGTATAAGTAATATTTTTTCTAATCACCATTTCATTACTTGATTCTTTGCAGAGTTTTAGAAACATTTTATCTAGAAGTCAATCAATGTCTCACTGCTATGGAGTCATGCTCTCATAGCCACTCTATGGGACAGGGTAGAACTGTCCGCGTGAGTTTCAGAGACTAACTCTTTTTTTTAATCGTTTTATTAGGAGTTCATACAACTCTTATCACAATCCATATATACATCAGTTGTATAAAGCACATTTGTACATTCATTGCCCTCATCATTCTCAAAACATCCACTCTCCACCCAAGCCCTTGGCATCAGCTCATTTTTGGCCATCCCTCCCCACTGTTCCCTCCCTCATGAACCCTTGATAATTTACAAATTATTATTTTGTCATATCTTACACTGTCCAACGTCTCCCTTCACCTACTTTTCTGTTGTCCATCCCCCAGGGAGGAGGTGATATGTAGATCCTTGTCATCGGTTTCCCCCTTTCTACCCCACCATCCCTCCACCTTCCTGGTATCGCCAGTCAGACCACTGGTCCTGAAGGGATCATCCGCCCTGGATTCCCTGTGTTTCCAGTTCCTATCTGTACCAGTGTACATGCTCTGGTCTAGCCAGACTTGTAAGGTAGAATTGGGATCATGATAGTGGGCGGGGAGGAAGCATTTAGGACCTAGAGGAAAGTTGTATTTTTCATTGTTGCCACACTACACCTGTCTGGCTCGTCTCCTCCCCGAGACCCTTCTGTAAGGGGACGTCCACTCTTAAAGGGAGTACAGAGCCAGGTCTTTCTCAGCCAGTAAGTACCAATTCAACACTAAGTAATGGTTCCTCTATAAAATAATCACAGATAGCAAACTTATTTTAATAAAAATTTTCCACTGACCTGGTGCAACTACATTCACTCTGATTTTCTTTCTTGCTACCTCTTTTGCAAGAGCACGTGAAAATCCAATTAGTCCTCCTTTACTGGCACTGTACACAGACTGGCCAGAATTGCCTTTTAAACCAACAATACTTCCTAGGGAGCAAGAAAAAAAAAGTAAAATGTAAACAAATTAGTTAGGCTTTTGGAAAATTCTGATAATTTATACTACACAAACAAAATCATTTTACCATATCTGTTGCTAAAATCGGAACTATTAGCCACTGTCATCTGAACAGTAAGACTCAGAGTCCAGATATTAACAGAAAACAGGATCTGAAAAAGATTGATCTAAAACCTCAGAGGCTAACAGGGGCTTGAGAGTTGATACTTTCAGTGAAAACCTGTTGTTAAGTGCCATGCAGTTGGTCTGACACATCACAACCCAATGTACAAGAGGTCTTGTGTCATCCTCACAATCCCTGTTACACTTCCACCCATTGTGCCACCACTGTGTCAGCCCATCTTGTTGAAGAGGTACCTCTCTTTCCTTGACTCCCTGTGTTAGCAAGCATGATGCCCATCTTCATGGATGAGTACTTTCTGATAACTTATCAAAAGCACTTGAGTGGAAGTTTCACCATCATGGCTTCTAAAAGGATGAGCTGTACTTCTTCCAAGATATCTGTGTTCATTCTCTGGCAGTCCGTGATCTATTCAATATTCCTTGTCCATCCCATAATTCAAAGCATTGATTCTGCCTCGTTCTTCCTTATTAATTTTCCAGTTTTTGTACACATACAAGGCAAGTGAAAATACCCTACCTTGGGTTAGGCATACCTTGTTAAGTGTCATCGAGTTGATTCTGATCCACAGTGAGCTTACGCACAAAAGGAAACACCGCTCAGTCCTGCGCCATCCTCACAACTGTTCCTGTGCTTGAGCGCCTTGTGGCAGACACTCTGTCAACCCATCTCCTTGGGGACCGTCCCCCTCTTCACTGCCCCTCTGCTTTATGAAACACGATGTCCTTCACCAGGGACTGGTCGCTCCTGACAACATGTTCAAAGTGAGTAAGATGAAGTTTTACCCTCCTTGCCTTTATGAAGCACTCTGGCCTTATTTTTCCAAGACAGGTCAGTTGGTCCCTCCAACAGTCCATGATACCTTCAATATTCCTCTCTAGCACAATTCAAAAGCATCGATTCTTCTTTGGTCTTCTTTATTTAAAGTGCAACTTTCACATGCAGATGAGGCAAGTGAAAATAACATGGCTTGGGTCAGGCACACCTCATTCCTCAAAGTAATATCCTGTTTTTCAATACTTTAAAGAGGTCTCGTGCAGCAAATGTACCTAATGCAACTCGTCTTTGATCTCTTGACTGCTGCTTCCATGAGCACTGAATGTGTCAAGACAAAATCCTTGACAACTTCAACCTTTTCTCCATTGATCGTGATGTTACCGATTGGTCTAGTCGTGAAGATTCTGGTCTTCTTGACAATGAGTTGTAATTCATTCTGGATGCTGCAATCCTTGATCTTCATCACTGTCATACCTTAGTCCTCAAAACCAAACCAAAACAAACTATTGGTATCAAGTCTTTCAACTCACACCGCCCCTACAAGACTAAAGAGAACTGTCTTTGTGGATTGCTGAGGTGGAGCAGCTGGTGCATTTGGACTACTGGCCTTACAGTTAGTAGTCGCGTGCATAACCCACGATACCACTACATACCATCAGTCTTGTGCAGCAGGTTGCAGATGTGATACAGTGATTCCGTGGACAATGATTTGGATCCAAATAAAATGAGATCCCCAGCAACTTCACTCTGCCCTCCATTTACCAACACGCTGCTGGTTGGTCCAGTCGTTAGAATGTTTGTTTGTTTTATGTTAAGATGTAATCCATACTGAAGACTATAATCTTCAATCCTTACCAGTAAGGGTTTCGATTCCTCCTCATTTTCAGCAAGTAATGTTATATATGTCATCTGCATAGCACAAGTTGTTAATGAACCTTCCTCTTCTTCTGATAAGGCATTTTTCTTCATATAATCCAGCTTCTCATCATTTGATCAGCATACAGATTGAGTTAAAACACAACAACAACAGCCAAACTCACTGCCATCAAATTGATTCTGACTCACAGCAACCCTTATCGGACAGGGTAGAACTGCCCCTGGGGGTTTCCAAGTTCCTGTGTAACTCTTCACAGGAGTAAAAAGCTTCATCTTTCTCTTGAGGAGCAGCTAATGGTTTCATACTGCTGACCTTGTGGTTCACAGCTGATAGGGAATCACTGCAGCACTCAGACGCCCTACAAATTGAATGGCATAGTGAAAGGACACAACCTTGACGCACACAGTCCTGATCTGAAACCAGGCCGTTTCCCTCTGTTTTGTTCACATTGCTCCCTTTTGCTCTCTATATGTTGTTGTTAGGTACAGTTGAGCTACAGAAATGATATGCACAACAGAATCAAACACCGCTGGTTCTTTGCCACCCTAGCACCGAGTTATACTTGAGCCCAGCTTCCTCTTTTTGATGATCAGAAACTTAGCCAAGCATGATGTCTGTTTCCAGGGACTGGACTCTCCTAATACCATGCCCAAAGTCTGCAATGCCAAGTCTCACCCTCTTCACTTCTAAGAAGCATTCTGCTTGTGCTTCCTCCAGGACAGCTCTACTCATTCTTCTGGCCGTCCGTGGTATACGCAACAGACTTTGCCCACACCGTAACTCACAGGCATTAATTCTTCAGACTTCCTTATTCATTGTCCAGTATTCGCATGCATATGAGGCGACTAAAAGTACAGTGGGCTGGAGTCAGGGCAGCCTAGTCCTCAGTCCTCAAACTGATATCTTGACTTTAATACTTTTAACAAGTCTTTTTGCAAAAGATGTGTCTATACATAAGGGGGGTTCAAAAGGTTGTGGAAAATGTCCATCATCTTTCAATCCCACCGTTCCACAAGCTTACTGAAACCACCTTTATACATGTTTACATGAACACAAAAAGTGTTTTTGAAGTTTCCATCCTTTGCAATGTTATCCATAATTCGGTGTGGTCCACACAGTTGAGTGCTAATGCATAATTAATAAAACCCAGATAAACATCTTTCTGGTATTCTCTGCTTTCAGCCAAAATCCATCTGACATAGCAACGCTGTCCTCATTCCATGTCCTCTCTTGAGCCCAGCTTGAATTTCTAGCTGCAATCAATATTTAATTATCTTAAGCAAAATTTTACTTGCAAGTGATATTAATGAAATTATTTGATAATGTCCTTATTCTGGTGAGTCATCTTTCTGTGGAATGGTACCAATATGAATCTCTTCTAGTGGCCTGGCAAGAGATCTATCTTCCAAGTTTCCTGGCATTGATGAATAAAAAGAGGACTACTTTAATCTGAGGAGGGCCAGATATGGTAAAAATCTGGCAGGCAGAAACTAAGAACCAAGAAAGTGAAATAAAAGTTACATAATTTTAAGAATAACAATAATTCAAATATTAAAAGTATGCAAACAAATTCTTACAGAACAACAGCGAACAAGTAATTTTCTACACCACTGACCTATACCTAGGACATAAAAATTAACAAAGAACCTCAGAGAATCTTTTAAAAGGTAAAATTATTTTAGAAAAAAGAAAACATTCCAAGTACTTTTTATAGTACAACCAATATTCCGAAATGAAGATATTTATCTATGTTATTATATATGATGGCTAGTACGTGACAAGGAAAGAACGTTAAAAGAGAAAGAGATATGAGACAGATGAACAGACACAGGAGTACGTGGGGAAAAGAGTGGCTCAGACAGACAGAACAGGAAAGAAAGATCGGGAGAATGACCAAACAGGAGTCTGAGGAGCCTCTGCTTTCTGACACACAAAAGATCCCACAGTAAGTGGTACCCTCTGCACTAGCAACAGTTTAAATTAGTCCTTTGAATACAGTGAATCTCAGCTTACTCTCATCTATCTATTTTTATTTGGAAAGATGCCCGGGGGCACAGTGTACTAAGTTACAGGCTGCTAACTGAAGGTCAGCAGTTCAAACCCAGTAGCCACACCACAGGAGAAAGATGAGGCTGTCTGTTCCTGTAAAGATACATAGTCTCTGAAATCCTAAGCACCAAATTCTGTTCTGTCCTCTGTCTACCAGGATTCTATAAGTTTTTATGGATAAAACTTCACAGAATATATATATTGAAAGGAAGAAGTAAGTGACTTGGGCTTCTTGGAGGTTCTGTTTTCCAATACTCCTAAAAGGGAGATGTCTTAGAGGTGACGGAATACACCCTATCTTATTATGTGACACATGCAGGATCATGTGCCAACTCACAAGAACCCAAAGCCAGTAGCTGGCTGGGTTAGAAGAAAAAGGCCTACTCACTTACTACTCGCTCTCATAAGTAAAAAACTGACTCAGCATTTTTCAGGATAAGTGTGGGAAAAAAGAGTTCTTTTAAAATTCCCCCATAGTTTATTAGCACAGTATTATTTCCTTTTCTTATTTTCAAAATAGGAAATCTTTTAAATTCTGGTTTAGAAGGCCATTTTGGATAATTAAAAAATAAATAAAAAACCTTCATTTTAATGGAACAGCACCCCCCTTTTGTGGCCTTTTAGGGTATTACCACTGACGTGAAAAGGCAAATAACCTACCACTATTTTCTTTTTTAATTTAAAAAAAAATTATTTTATTGGGGGCTCGTACAATTCTCATCACAATCCATACATCCATCCATTGTGTCAAGCACATATGCACGTTTGTTGCCCTCATCATTCTCAAAACATTTGCCTACCACTCTACGCCCTAATATCAGTTGCTCATTTTCCCCCTCCCTCCCCAATCCCCACTCCCTCATGAACCCTTCATAGTTCATAAATTATTATAGTTTTGTCATAAGTTACCCCCTACCACTATTTTCAAGTAATCAAATCAAAATAAAATTTCAAGTTATTTTGCATTTTAAAACTTGCAGGCGGGGACAACACCAGAGACACAGTGTGGGAATTGCACCCAATCTGATCCCGCCACACTGAGGCAAAACTTGCAGGCACATGCTATGTAATTTATCTGCCAATGAGTAAAATAATCTGTCACTATCCATTCAAAAAAATCTTTTGAAATTACTTTATTCCATATTTTT